TAAAAATATCACTTTTTACAAAATTTAATTTAAAAAAAGGTGACTCAAATGGGGGCATAATATTAGAGAGAAGCATTTGAAATTTGATTTGACAGAAAGGTTAAGATAAACAAATCAAAATGTGGTTAATATTTAGGATTAGATTAGTTGTACACACTTGATGTACATTAAATTTGACACTCTATGTTTTGTTTAAATATGTGTCATTGACTGTTTAAAGTATTGTCAAAATCAATGTATAAAAAGCTGTCACTACACAATAATGTCAAACTTAATCTCAATAAAGATGTACATATAACACGATTGATTTAAGGTTGAGAATTGATTAATTTGGGGGAAATTTCACTGTGTCTATTGGTCTCCAATCTATACACTTTGCTAAAATCCTTTTTGTTAATGTATCTTTCTTGACAACAGGTCCCGAACTTATATGTTTTAGAGAAAATTTGAAATCCGTGGCCAAAAGGGACGTGTGTTGAAAGAAAACAAATAGGTTAGGGACCATTGTATAAATAAAAATACACTAGGGATGATAATGCAACAAAGTTTATATTGGGGACCAACAGTGTAATAGATAAAGTAGAGAAGCAGAGAAGGCCACGTACACACCATATGAACTTTACAAAATAAACTCCAAAACCTGCGAAAATGTCTTATTATTACCAATCGCGTCCCTTACTGTGTATACACACGCACTTTAATTGCATGGACTAAAAGTCTAAAATGTTAATTCTAAATGCCAATTTAAAAATTTCAGTCTCAAGTCTTAACAGAAAAATGTGCACCAATTTTTGTTTCTAAATGATTTTCAATTTTTCATTTTTCTGTCCAGTTTTCTAGATGTCATTATCTTTTCAAAAGTGTAACAAAATTAGAGATGACAACGGTGTGGGTATGAGACGGGTCAGTCATTCTCACTCTCGTCTCATCGAGTATTTTTATTATCTTACCCCATTTTAAAGTGGGATGGGACGGGGCTCCTGCCACATTTATCTCTCCATTTTTTTATTATTTATTTTTTTATGTCTTTACTTCGTAAATATTATTACTTTTTTACCAATTTATTAGAAACAACTTATATTCTCTTTAAAAATATGATAAATATATTATTTTTGTTTGACAAAAAATTTAAATTTGAAATTAATTTTAAACGGGGATGCGTAGCGAGGCGGGGACAATGATTTCCATACCCGTCTCATACCCATTTCGGGGCAATGAACATCGTCTCGTCCCCCTCATTCCGTTTATCTGATTAGGCAGGTAATCTCCGACCCGTTCAGGGCGGGTTCCCACAGGTTTCGAGTTGAACGAATTTTTTTGCCATTCCTAAACAAAATTCCGAATTTTTTTAACTATTTATCCACGATGTTTTGTTAATTTATAGTCCATTTAAATACCTTAATCTTCCTCGTCAATATAGTTGTCGAGAATCTCGTCAACTTTATGGAGATTTCTTAAAAGACATTTTAATAGAAGGGCTGCATGATTTAATGATCACGTTTAAAAAAAAAAAAAGTTTGTTGTGATAGATGAATTTTATTTTCACCTCAAAATGTGGACTAGTACAAAGAAACGAGATTTTAAATTTTAGAAGATATTTAGAGTGTGTTTGGTAGAGATTTTTGGAGGAAGAATTGATTTTTGAATAGTGATATGATGTGAAATATGTGGTTGAAAAAGAAGAAAAAAGTATTGATGTGATGGAAATATTATTTTATTGAAGAATGTGTGGTTGAAAATGAGAATTGATTTACTGTAGAAAATTATAATCCAAACCAAACAGGCCCTAAAAGTTGTTAGGAGAAAAGAGACACTTTAATAAAATACTGTTGNGATTTTTGAATAGTGATATGATGTGAAATATGTGGTTGAAAAAGAAGAAAAAAGTATTGATGTGATGGAAATATTATTTTATTGAAGAATGTGGGGTTGAAAATGAGAATTGATTTACTGTTGAAAATGAGAATCTGTACCAAACAGACCCTTAGTCCTACCCATTATTTTCAAAATACATTTTTATTCATAGATTTTTCAATAAAATAATATTATAACCAAATCCAAAAATTTTCCTTATTTTTTAACCACACATTCTATTTCAATCTATTATTCTAAAATATATTCTTAAATAAAAATAGGGTTCAAACATGCTCTAAATAGATTTCATTTAGTATCCTTTATTATAACACAAGTCTAAAAAAGTGCACACACATTGTGCTTTAATCAATGAAACGAATTTAATCAAACTTTACTTTTATTAGCTTAGATTTTTTTCAAAATTCTTAATTAATGATTTTCATTCATTTTTGCACTTTCTTCTGACAATAAGTTAGAAAAACAAGTCAATGATGAAATCTATATTCGATTAGACTATACTATTTATTGTATTAATCCAACGAATAAATGTCCGTAATCATCTTTCAAATTGAAGAAAAAATTTTGTTACAACTTCGATAATGGCGATTCACACGATCTCGTATGATCCTTAAGATCTCGATATAATTGAGTTGAGATAATTTCCGTTTGACACCCATTATTTTGAAGAATGAGTTTTTGAAAAGTGATTGATATAAAGAATGTGTGGTTAAAACGTAAGAAGAATTTTTGGGTTTATGTGTAATATTATTTTATTTGAAGAATGTGTGGTTAGAAATGAGTACTGTAGAAAAATGAGAATGAGAATGAGATAAAAAATGAGTGTCAAACAAGAGCTTAATTGTAATTTCTTTTAGTTGTTTTATCATTCTGAGATCGTAAAAGTGTAATATCAAATATTTCAACTAACGATTTTAACAATATTTGTGGTGATCACGCTTACTGATAGTGTGTGATGAATGGCATATTAGAAAAGATTCTTTGGGGCCTTACTCTCAACTTAATTGTCCTCGTTCACCCTATGAATGATTGCACACTCGGAGTGGAATGACTTTGAATTACAACCTAAGAACATGTCCCTACCCAACCCAAACAACTCCACACAATTCTATCAAATTGGACTTTTGTGTGAGATTGAACTACAAACTTTTATATTTAAACATTTTTTCCAAATATTGATTTATTTATCAAGCAAAAAAGGTATATTCAAGTGATCTTTTACTGTAAACGTTGTCGTCTCATTCGTATGAACACGACATAATAATGTATGCTTATAAAGTCTAATTCTTTTAAAACGGATCGAAGTGAAACTTTAGCGGGAAATAATAAAATTGTATACTATCTAACTTTTCTCCAATCACAATGTAGTTATTATAGGTTTCTAGGTTCTTTCCTAAAAGTATACCACAAAATACTTGAAATAATGGAATATGAAGCTGTAGCCAGAGAAGGAAATTGTTTAAATTTAAATTCATGATATTATAAGAAGATGACAAATCATCCCATCCCTTCAACCTTACTTGTGGTCCTCTACCATTAATGCATTGATACCTCATTTTTATCCTACACTCCTTTTCTTCTTTTCCTCTTATCCTGTGCACCATTCTATTTCATTTCTCTAAGCTTAAAAGAACAACCAACTCCATTGACACTTGCTGCAGTTTTGGCGTTGTGTTTTCCAGATTCAAACATGGCGACTTCGTGTTCTTCAGTGGTATGGAGCAGAGAAGAAGAGAAAGCATTTGAAAATGCCATTGCAATGCACTGGATAGAGGACTCCAAGAATCAATGGGATAAGATTTCCTCGATGGTTCCGAGCAAAAGCATTGGAGAGTTGAAGCACCATTATCAACTTCTTGTCGAAGATGTTAATGCAATCGAAGCTGGACATGTTCCATTACCCAATTATATTGGAGAGGAAACATCTTCATCAACCAAGGATCATCATCAAGGGTTGCGTCCTGGTACATGTTCCATTGGACAATCCAGTTGTGGGTTTTCAGGACTAGGCCACGACTCTACTGGCATGGGTCAGGCATGTAAAGGAGTATCCAGGGCGGACCAAGAGCGCCGAAAAGGGATTCCGTGGACAGAAGAAGAGCATAGGTATGAGCCACTAGTAGTGAGACTTCATTAATGAAGATACATTCTACTTTTTGAGTGTAAAGTTTTATAAGTATGCATGATGAAAGTGACCTGTTCATTCTTACCAGGTTATTTTTGCTTGGTCTGGACAAGTTTGGGAAAGGGGATTGGAGAAGCATTTCGAGAAACTTCGTAATATCCAGAACCCCCACACAAGTTGCAAGCCATGCCCAGAAGTACTTCATTCGACTCAATTCCATGAACAGAGACAGAAGGAGATCCAGCATCCATGACATCACTAGTGTGAATGGTGATGTGGCATCCCATCAGGCACCGATTACAGGACAACAGATGAACCCCAATCCGATCAATGCAGCGGCACTTTCTCCTGCAATTAAGCACAGGAACCAATCAAACATGCAAGGATTAGGCATTTACGGTGTAGGGCATCCAATTGCTGCTGCTCCCGGTCACATTGCATCTGCAGTTGGCACTCCTGTTATGATTCCTCCAGGACATCATCAACACCCTTACGTTGTTCCAATGGCGTACCACATGCCACCACCACCACCACCGCCCATGCATCAATAACAAGTACCCACATCAATGCCCATCACAGGAAGCTGAATCTCTGGACCCTGCTTCTAAAGTCCGATTGCTTGTTGGCCTCCATTGATAATGGTTTCTTGAAGTTCATCCTACACCGACATTAGAGCGTGTTACCAACACAATTGTAATAACATTTTGGAACTCTATACATACCAGATTAAAATTTTTGACACAACACAATTCTTGGAACATAATAATGCAGGGATAAGAAGTTTTATTTTTCTGTTCCTAAATGTTGATGTCAGATGGATCCAATAAGAATGACAATCTTTTTATTAATTCAATTGGACACCAAAAGAAACAGATTCTATGTTATGTAGTATCACACTGAAAGAAAACATCAACCGAGATAGAAATTTTCGTAGTTTACGACTCTCCAACTTAAAGCTGAAAATGGAGAACCCTATTAAGAGCAACAATTTTTCAATTCTCAAGAACTAGCAATGCTGATGCGTTACTGTATGGTAGCATTGCCCTTTGGATTCTCATTTCAAAACTTAATTGAGAAACACCAAGAAAACCTCCATGACTATGAATATCTTGAAGATTAGGTCTATTGATCAAGAGATAGTAGCGCATTCAATGACTGAAAAAGAACATATTGATGCCATTCTGAAGAACTATCAGCAGAATACAAGACCTTTATTCTTTCAATTGAGTTGCACACAGAACCCTATTCAGTTGAAGACATTGAGTCAGTATTGTTAGCTCAATAAGCGGAGAGTAGAGAAGAAACAAAAGGAAATGGACTTTTCACTTCCAACCCCAGCCAAAATGCTTACATTTCGGGCCAGAACTCACAGCAGGAAAGGAGAAATTCCATGGTATCGATTCAACTTCAACTCAAATTTGGCGCCAGAATGTTTTGGGAGGAAAATTTTTTGGTGAAAGGAATAACGTTCAGAATAATACAAGAGGAATTCCTGCTTTTGGTAACAGAGGAGGAAGAGGTCATGGAGGCCAATTTTTCAGTGTAAGAGGTTCTTCGTCTCAAAACAGACCTCAATGTCAACATTGTTAAAGAATAGGTTTTGTAGTACTGAACTGCTACAACATTTTGATCTCAATTTTAACATCAACAAAGCAACTCTCAATTCCAAAATCCAGAGAGCGGGAGGGGGGGAGTGGTCAAGTGACAGAAATGCTTGCCCCTCAACTTGTCAACGGTACAAACAGGTATTCTGAATCAGGAGACTCACCATGTCAATAATGCTGATGCTTCAAAGTTGATGGGAAAGACAAAATACTATAGAATAGAACACATTCCGGTTCACATAGGCAATGATGAGGGTCTATCAATTAAACATATTGGTCATTTTGTCTACTTTTCTCCTTATACTTCCAAAAGTCTTTAGCTTAAACATCTTCTAACATTCTGACTATAACTAGGGATGTCCAAAAGTCTCAAATCGAACTCGAACCAAACCGAGCGGTTCTTCATAAGTTAAATATCCGAACGGGTACCCTAATCGAAAACCGATGGGTTTGGGTCG